ATCATAGGATGTAGAGGTGATATTAGAACAATTGGAGGTGAAAGGGTTGCGCCAAGGAGATAACGGGATAAAGGAGATGCTGATCAAGTTGAAGGATTTACCAAAATATGAGGCGACATGGGAGTCTTACAGTACTATTCATAATCAATTTCCTTTTTTTGCACCTTGAGGACAAGTTGACGTTTTTGTAGGGGAGTATTGATGAGCTGCCCATATGGGGCCTAGGACCTCCATTATCACCTATAGGAGAAGAGGCCTTGGAGGAAACTCTTTTGAAAAGGGGGGAGGGAGACGCTTTGGGAAAGATGTAAGAGACATTTATTCGGGGATTTGAGCAGCTTAAGGGGGAAGATTATGGTGGGTTAAGATTTTTTATGTTATAAAAAAAAAAAGATTTTTTATGTTATGTTTCGAATTTCTGCAGTAGTTTTTGTGAGGTATTTAGGTTCCTAGTAGCATTTAGGAATTGTAGGAGAGACGATTCACCTCTCAAACAACGAATCAACTTGTATTTTGTCTTACTTTGCTTGGAAATTAGTAAAAACAACTTTCTACATGTTATTTTTGGATCTATTTGGAGTAAGTTACTATTTTTTATATTGTTTTGTGTTGTTTTGATCATCAAGTTCTATCATATTTACTTTGATCCCCTCTGGGGTAAGGATGAACCACAGAAATTTGTCAAAACCTGCATCAAAAGTACAATTTCATAGTTTAAATTACATATTCTACCTTTTCAGTTGGGCGAACATCTCCTTCAAGTTTTGGATTTGCAACTCCCATGACTTGCTCTTCTCTAACCCCACGAATACCTCAACATTCGATTCTTTTTGGTCTTTGAAAACTTGATCCATTATTCATTGGTAGGTTGTCCCTGTATTCTTCAACCCAAATGGTATCAACTTATGGTAATATAGACCTTCCCCCATTATCAATGATGTTTTATCATAGTTCGGGGTACATCTTTACTTAGTGGTAGTCGAAAAATGCATCAAGAAAGCTCTTGACCATAAATTCATCCGCTGAGTCGACCAATGAATTGATAGTTGGGAGGGGGTCCACATCAATATGGAATGTTGAGCTTAAGTCAGTGAAGTCTTAGCATGTTGAATTTAGGTAGGTCAAGTATACACATTCTCGATCCATTCAATCTGCCTAATGAATTTGACATCTAAGAGTTCTAGACTTCTTACTTTATAGGCTTGACTAGGATGACTACAGTCTTCCTAATTTTCTACTTAATGAGCATGGGAACATTCACATTGATAGGTGACCTCAATATCTCCCAGTGGCATATCAACAACAATCCAAACAAAAACACAAACATCGCCCCCGAGAGCTTGGATTATTTCATAACAATGTTTCAAGCCAAAGGTCAAACTTATTATGAGCATTTGTTTAGGGACGAATTCTATCAATTAGAACTCCAAATCAATGTTTCTTCAACCTTAATCCTCTCTCTACTTTGAGTTGCATCCACTGGACTCATCACTTTCCCAGAACCTTTAGGTAGCAAGATTGTGATTGGATAAAGTTTCCTTTTACTATTATCTCCTTACCTCTATTTGGGAATTTGATCGCCAAATGATATGACAAGACAACTGCCTTGAAGGTTTTCATGAGTGGTCACTTGAAGGTAGTGTTATAGGTGGGGAGCACAACCATCACTATTAAGTTGACCATTGTCATACATTGGCGTTCAACCTCGCCCCAGATTATGACATAGCAATCATCCTTTTGATCACTCATCATTCTACTAGGAAACCATAGAGCGAACCAACATTGAGGGTGAGCTGGAAAGCAACGAGATTCATCTAATCAAAATAGATTTAAAAATATATTAATGAAGCTCCCACTGACAATAAGAATGTTGTTGATTTAGAAACTGGCGATCAATATGGTGACCACCATAGCATCATTAAGGGGATACCACTTGTCAGCTTGTTCACTTTAGTGATGGTAACCGAAGCGACCTTGGCTGCAATCATTAGGGTAAGTTGCCGAGTTAACATATCTCAAACGAGATCGCTTGAAACTTGATCGTTAGGATGCCTTAGCACCATCTCCTCTAAGGATAACAGGCATTGTCCCAATAATCTGGATAGTCCGAGCAAAAACTATCTTATTACCTTGATCTTCTGCAGGTGCCTTCCATACTCACCAGCCAGAGCCTGCTAGAACAAGTTCCTTTAGTTTTTTGTCTTTTATCGATTCCTCCACAAGGCTCATGAGGTGTAAGACTCAATATTATGCCTGTGGACTTGTGAAACGTGCAAATTTTGGAAGTGTCCCAAGCAGGGTGATTGCCTTTATAGGTGTTGGGCGCATAAAGAAGGCAGGTCCACAATACTCAGTGGTCTTGCTAGCAGTGACACTATACACTGGCCTAGGTGATCTCGTTCTTGCTGCAAGCATTGCCTTCTTGCCACATTGTGTGCCCACAACCATTTGTTGGAGGTGATCCCATATTGCTAGAAGCTTTTAGGGGCTAGAAGCCAAGGAAGAATTGAATGTACTATTGTATTCTTCAACATATGGCTATTTGTGAGTTCAAACAACCAATATTTGTTGTTGTAGGCTAAGCACATACCTGAATGGCCCTTCCCCAGGCCTCGAGTCAAAGAGGCATGTGCAATTACCAATGTAAATCATTAACTTCTAACATCTCCTTTTGGAATCTAACGATGAGGCTCCTCAGAGACTTTCATGGTTCCTGCCTCATCTTTAAGAGATCATGTGAGCTGTTGAGAGGCCTTGGAGCACCTTGCGAATTGCATGATGAATATCCTATTAAACTTGGAGAAAGATGTAACAACGTATAATGGCATGTGGGAAAATCATGTGGAAAATAATAGTTAGTATATAAGCAAGTTTGTCATCTCGAAGTATGCAATGTGACAAGCAGGGTTAAATCTTCCCAGGTATGACTCCATGTGCTTTGTGGGTAGCTTCGCCTCTATAATCTCCCTAAAAAATGCATTAGTCAATTCTGACTCACTTCTTCACTCACCTGAGAGGAGCAGTGTACCCTTCATCACTAGTCTAAATATAGCTCCGTTCAACAAGTGTTGAAGTCAACACTCAGGAGTTGGATCGCCTTCAACGGGTTGCTAAGTCAGTGGATCCCTCTAGGTTCTCACTCTTGGGGCATCCCTTGAACTTGCCACAATGCCTCTTGGAGTATTTGGTGAGCCTTCTTCCATATCTATTAAATCACGATGAGTTGTGAAGTTCTGGTTCTATATGTTTACGGATGACACCTAGTAATGTTACTCTTCACACAATGCTTATCTTTTGGTCACGCACATCAATGCATGTGCACTGTTAAATCCAAATTCATCCATGGGCAACACTTGACCCTACGAACAAGTCTGGCTAGAGCAAGACAACAAGAGGGAGAGTGAGTATGGAGAGCCTAATGACCCCTCATTTATAGAGTTAGGAGAGCAAGGAAATCAAATAATCCCTGTGAAAAATAGAAATGGCATGAAATTTAAAAAAATGATGATCCCTCAACTGTAGAGTTAAGAGAGCTATAATAAAAATTGTACCTACAAAAATTAGAGAAATAATAGATGATTGGATAATTATAGACTAGTACAAATAACTGGACAGAGTCAAAATGTGCACACATGGCAATTTATCTTTGATGTGGCTTGAGATGTTCTTTGGTGAGCCCCTTGGGTGTGTCCTGGAGGGTGGGATCAATACCTTGGGCAAGTTAGCAAAGGAAGGTGCCCTAAAAAAGTGACGAGTGTGGTAATAAGCTAGGGACAAGTAGGGGTGTTAATTCAGATCAATGGGTCGGGTTCTAGTCGAACACGACTTGACTCGGTTGTAAACGGGTTGACCCTAGCCTGGCCCGATTTTATAAACAGGTCAGGATTCTTAACCCAGACCCGACCCGTGCGGGTTACTGGTTGACCCGACACGACCCGACAACTGTTTTTTTTTTTTTTTAATTCTGGTTTAAACGGACAGGCAAGCTTGCTGGATTGGGCAGCCAGGCCAATGTGAGCTAGGGGCGAGGCGGCGGGCGACCAGATTGAGCCTTCAAGGCCCTCATGCAATCGTGTGGCCGGATTGGGTCGAGGCGGGCGTGCTGGATTGGTTCAAGGCGGGCATGCCGGATTTGGTCAAGACGATAGTCGAGGGCTCGAGGCAGCGGCGCAGCGCGACAGGCTGGGCGGAATCGCTAGAGTCCGGACAGCGCAGCAATGACGCGACTCACGAGTGACGCGATTGATTTATGTCCAATCCCGCTGAGGCACTGAGGCTCTGACAAATCTGGCGCGGTGCAGTCTCGATTCCCCCCAAGCGAAAAAAATTAAAACGGGCAGAGCAATCCAGGTCAATCTCGAGTTATCGGGTTAACCCGGAACCGACCCATTTTTTAAATGGGTCAAAATTTGAAACTGGAACCAGACCCATTTATTAAACGAGTCGACCCTAACCCGTATTTTTCGGATTGGGTTCAGGTCGGGTTGTCAGGTCATGTCAATAATTGCATTTTGCAAGTTTTCTGGCCAAACTCGCTTAGAACATGTGCATCCCAGTTAGACTTTTTGAGGGATAATGTGAGATTCATTGGGGCAAATATTTGTCTATTTCTAAACTTCTATGAATGCTCCTTGGGGCGAAGCTCATTTTGGTCAAGTGTGTCTCTTGACTAAGTTCTTTATGGGCGGAACCTGGTTGGTACCTACGAGTTACTCGTATTGGTATGTATGAACATACATCAATAATTTCATATTTGATGAGCTTGATGATATCTCGTGGGATTGGAAATTCGAAGCCATGCCACGAAAAATTTCAAAACTTGCAAAATGCATTGAGTATCCAACTCGTACTCGCTGAATTCAAAGAATATATGGATTTAACTATATATTAAATATGCAGGCAATTCCAAACAAAACGACATTCAAAAAAATATGTATTGGGCAGAATTCCTAAGAAGTCTAAATAATCCAATTTGCAATACTTCAGTTAAGCTAAAATACCGGTTGAGGGGGCTGGATGCTGGTTGTTCCTTCAAAATCAGTAGAGGTGTCAACAGGACGAGCAGGATAATTGATAATTTTCTCTCCAGGTTGTATTGGTACCAGAGCACTGATAATGTACATAAAAAATGTCAAATATAAAGTCAGAAGGATGCTTGAAATGTCAACGATGACAGCTCATATATTTTATGCACAGGAAGAAATAAACAATAAAACTCCAAGCTTCTTCAAAAAATTTTATATAGAGAACTGCAAACCTACTCCATTTTACAAGAAAAAAGCAAAGTATAACAGTGGCTTACTTCCGACCGGGTAGAGGATCAATTCGAAAGTACCTGAACAAAGATAACAAAAAATCTTTAGGACAAGCAAACAAGTTTATGGTGTACCCATTAATCAACAAATTTTCATATATCACCTAACGTTTCCTAAATGACCCGTTAGAACATATGGCATAAGTAAGAAAATACAAATCAAGCACAGATCACAATTACACTAGTAATCATAGCTCATAAGAAAGTAATATGAATGCCACTATGAGAAATTATTAAATAGGAGTGTTAAGAAAGAAATTATTTTAGAAAAATATGGTGAACAAAATAAATATGTATTATAAATTGATCAATAAAGTAAAGTTGAGTTGGCTTTGAAGAAAATCTATAAAGTAGACTTTAGGTTCAAATAAAATTCTTGATGGGAATTGGAGAGTTATAGGAGAGATACTATAGAGATTTGATTAAAATAAATTTTCGATGAAATTTTTAAGGCTAAGATGATGTCAAATAATCTGACAAAAAACGTATTAGTACTAAAATCTAAAAACATAAGAGATGTTCAAAATTGTGATTATTATAGAAGGACAAAACCTAATGAGTAAAAAAAAAGTTATGATGCCCCAAATTAATGGAACATAGACTTGAGAAAAAACTATACAAGCTCACAGGTAGGACGTGCAGGCAGCGGAGGCGATGATCTCACTTGAGCGCACATAAATCAAAGCAATCTGGTTTGTAACTATCGAGCCATGCAGAGTGTGGCTGACAGGAGGATTATGGTCAAAAAGACGCAGACTCGCACAACAACGTTACTTGTATAAGCAATTAGACAAACGAAGTTGGCAAAGGTTGGTTGTTCATGTATAGGAGCAACGCACGTGGGAAAGAGGTATGGTTGCGGAAGACAGAGCCGAAAGGATTAGGGCTACGGGCTGATCGACGAAGGCAGATAGCAAGACTTAGGGGAATTGAAAGTGTCAGTTCATTTGTTTTGTTTCTTCGTATATTTATTGATCGAATATTTGTAATTGTGAAGTTTCCGAAGCATTGCTTCTGTTCATTGGACTTCTGCAGTGGTATATTGGTTTCAAATCTTCCCTCCTTTTTATTTTATTTTATTTTATCTTATTTTATTTTAGTCAACAACTTGCCTCCCAACAAAATTCTTGGGTGATTTCACACAAGGAATTCATTGCAGTTGTTTGTCATATGATTTTCATAGTTCTTCTTTAATCCTTTTAGGTTATAATGTTAGATTGGAAGAGACCTTGTTTGCTACCAAGATTGGAGCCTTCAAAGGAAGATATTTGGAAAGAGATTGATGCATGCGATCTTTCTCAATCGGCTTCTATTTCTCATCAATTAGAACATCAACTTGCCAATGGCAAGTTGTGTTTTGGAAGGGCGCCTGAAACTTTGAAATCAGCGAAGGAAGAGGAGGAAAAAAGAAGGAATAAGGGGAAAGAGGCTAGGAATTAGATAAGGAATCTAGATTGAATGAAGAGAAATACAGTTGAGGTAAAATTCCTTTTTTATGTTTATCATAAATTGATTTCTAAGTTAAGAATTATTTATAAATTTTGAAATAATTGTTATTTAGTTTGTCTATAAGATAAAAAGAGGTCTAAGTATTCTAAGGGATCAAATCCATGGTGTTAACCTAGAAAATGAGGTGAGATGCCCAATCTCTAATTCAAGACGTAACAAATTTTTTTAAATCTAACTTTTATAGTATTTCTTCATATTAATCATGAGATGAAATCATAAGATGAGAATTCTAGCAACAAGAAGAATTTTAGTTTCATAGTCGCATCCTCATAATGAATTTATGCTATATGTACAATATTTTCAAGTTCATGATTATTGTGTATTATTACATGATATTCTTAACATTTGTTATACTAGTTTGGTTGTCATTGAGAAAAATTATACTATGAGGGTTAGGACAGCAAGTGAGGACAAGCGTAAGGAAGGCAAAAGATCAAACGAGATAAGTCTTAGTAGAGACCGTACAAGAGGTACTCGATTCTATGTTTTAAAAAGCTGGAATTTTTAGATCCAACCTTGAAGGAGGGGCTATGAACGTGCTAAAGCCTATAGGCATCATATGACTTTTCTAAAATAGTGTAGATAAATAAAATAAGAAACAAGAGAAAATACCTAAAAGATTTCATATAGTAAATTGCATAGTTTTATACATTTATCATTACAATTTATTTATTTTTTCTTTTGTGAATTATACATGTATACCGCTTATGACTCTTATATTAGTTTGAAATATTAGCATACATGTTAATTACTTCTTGTTCTGGTATGAAGATTGTATATTTCATTGAGCATTTAGCTCACTAATTGATATAGTATAGGAAGGAAAATGAGCCAATGAGGCTTTAGGCAAGAGTTTGGCTGTCCCGTGTACATAATTGTTTTGGGTGTAGATAGAAGTCTAATAAGTAAGTTGTAGATTAAAGCTTTTGGGTATGTAAAATTTTAATTAAAATTTTTAATAAAGCTCTATACTTTATTTTGATGTATATTATGCATGCTTCCAAACATGAAATCATGAGGTATAATTCTACGACTGAAACATATTTGTGCTGGGATAGTCCAAATAGATTAATTTCTTACTCACTCGATCCTAATGAATGTAGTTCAGGATGGATGCTAGTGAGAAATGTATTTTTCTGTATTTTCCTTCTCTATTACACCTCAGGTTAACTGAGGAGGGTCAAAATGGGGTGTGACATATTCAAACATTTTCACATATATACACGTTTCACATTTTATCTCTAAGAGTAAAGCCACACATCCACCTTAGCATCCCTATATATGCAACACTTAACTTTATGCTTTTCTTTTAATGGTAAACATTCTGCAAAATAAAGCATTGCAGGTCTCACCACCATTTTATAGAATTTCCTTTAAGTTTATAGGGGTACTTTTCTATCACAAATTAGGCCCGAGGCATTCCTCCACTTCAACTATTCAACTTGAATTATACAAATAATATTCACATCTATTTCACCATTACTTTGAACAAAAGACCCCGGATATCTAAAACATGTACTCTTTTTAATGACTTGATCATCCAAAATCACAATCCACCCACTAGATCTATAACTCAAGGTTCTAAAAAACTATATCAAACATAAAACCAGAAGAAGAAATTCAAGATTCAAATATTCAACAGGAGTTGAACTAGATGATGTAATAAATATGAAATTTATTTAAATAAAATTTAAATAATAGAATAATCATTAATAATATAATTTTTTTACTAAAAAATAAAGTGAGTTCATACATTAACAATATCTTATGTAGTTTTAAATTTAAACATCTTTAATCTTTAAATTTAATTCACATTTAACATAAATTTAGTTTACATTAAATTTATAAATTTAATATAAGTTATTATCAATTTATTTTACATGTTTAGATATAATTTACACCTATAGATTATATATTAAATTCATATTATAAATTTACATCTATAAATTATTAATATTAAATCATTTATTATTAAAAATTAATTAATTAATATTTTATAGAATATCTTGCAAATGTCTAGTGAGAACATCCATGATTAAAGAAAAAAGATATGGGCTTAAGGCTGATCCTTGATGTAACCCAATCGAAATAAGGAAATACTTGGTCAAACCACCTTGTGTTTGAACACAAGTAATAGCTCCTGCATACATATCTTTAATGATTTGAATATAAACATTATTGACTCCTTTCTTTTCAAGAACTCTCCATAACACTTCTCTTGGAAGTTTATCATATGCTTTTTCTAAATCAATAAATATCAAATGTAGATCATCCTTATTTTCTCTATATTTCTCCATCAAACCTCTTAGGGTGCGTTTGGGACGGCTATAGTTGTCGGTAAAGCAGGTTGTGAAAGTGTTATATATAAAGCTGCTTTCTAAAGTTGCTGTATAAAAATCATTATATTTTGTTTGGATAGTATAACTGTAGAGCTGCTGTGCTGCAGCTGCATGGGAACAAATTTACGTTCGTATCCTTATACATATAGAGAGAAAATAAAATTTTTTAAAATATAATTTTTTTCTTAGCCTCTTCTAATAATTCAGTTTTCTCTTTGACAAGGGAATTTTTAGCTTTGGAAGATGGTTAGCCACACCCAAACCTTTGCGCATAAATTGTAACATAAGTCAAAAAATTACCATTTGCAGGTGGTTACATGCGATTACTTCGCAAAACTAAAAAAAATTGACAAACAAAAATTCTGAAACAAGATCCAACATAAACTTCAACAACACATAAAGGACGTGCATTATATCAAAGTAAATAAGGTAAGGAGAAATCCACAAATTACTATCATGGTTAACAATAAAACTGTGCATAAAAACGTGAGAGACTAGTAACAAAACAATCAGGTCCTTATTGTTGAGCACACTGCACTCTGAGCACCACCATGCATGTCCTCGTCCTCATCATATGCCTCTTGAGCTTGAGTTTGCTGCTTCATCCTCATCTCCTTCTCCACGTTCACATCATGCAATGTCGTCTCTTCGCACTCGTCAAGCTCCATGTCTGTAAGCTAAGTTTGAGTCTTTGCAGGAAGAATTACCTTGAGAGCTTTGCACTGGTCTGGATTCAGCGAGTCCGGGAAATAATAATAGGTTTAGGGACAATAAAGTTTAACCATAGAGTAAATACTTTTCTTCAAGAAAATTAATCCTACCAGCATTCTTCTATCATGTCGCAAAGGGGCTTATTGAGCTTGTCTGATTATCTTATTCCCAGCCACATGAAAGAACGCACTATGCCTGAAGAAATTCATCATTTTTATTTTTGAATCGAGGTCAATGCTTGGGGTAATATCTAATGTCTACTGCATATGGTGTAACCATCTCTCTGCAGCTTGATGAGTATCAGGAAATGGACGATGGCGCCCAATTAGGGAAGAATGGCCTTTTCTTTGGGAGTTAAGAGGAGGCCTCCCATTCTCTGCACAAAGAAGTCATACTGACTCCGAATCGCATCCTCCTTCCTCGACCATGTGAAGATCGATCGGAACCACTCCTCGTCATCATAAACCCTGTGTAGAAATTAGTGGACAGGTCAAGAAAAGGCTTAATGTCGCCGCCAAGAGCATTGAAGACATTGGTTTCGTCGATCGCAAAGGCGTCGCTCGCCGCGACGCCACTCCACACCAACGCTTTCTCCTGCAATGACTGCATCTCCTCTGTGACGTCTGCGATGGCCAAAAATTGTAGACAGAAGCGGTGTTGAAGGCTTCGGACGACGGTCGCGAATATTTGCAGGGGAGAATTTACATCATTTTTCAAGGAAAGCAGCGGACCGCGGGAGACCGCGAGAGATAGTGAAAGGTCTCGGAAAGCAACTAGGTGCCGCAAATTTTTTCTGACGCGGTTGTGCCGCAATGCCCCAAACATGAATTTAATATTTTTTTTATAAAGCAAAGCAACAGTGCCGCCGTCCCAGACATACCCTTAATAAATGTATAGATTCCATAGTCGACCTACCCGGCATGAATCCAAATTGATTTTGAGAAACATTAGTATCACGCCGCAACCTATGCTCCATAACTTGCTCCCATAGTTTTAAAGTATGACACATTAACTTAATACCTCTATAATTCGCACAATCATGTGCATCACCTTTATTCTTAAAAATAGGAATTAACACACTCATTCTCCACTCATCTGGCATCTTCTTAGTCTTCAAAATAGTATTAAAAAGTTTAGTAAGCCATGAAATTCCTTCATCTCCTAAGCATTTCCACACGTTTATTGGAATATCATCAGGTCCAACAGCTTTTCCACCCTTCATTCTATTTAAAACCTCTCTAACTTCAGTTTTACTAATACACCGATAAAAACAGAAATCTTTATTATCATTTAGGGTGCTAAGGTCACTATAGTCAATCTTATTATCACAATCTTCATTAAAAAGTTTAGCAAAATATCTCATCCATCTTTGTTGAATATCATCTTCTAAGAAAAATATTTTTTGATCTTCATCCTTAATACACTTCACTTGAACTAAATCCTTACTACTCCTATCTCTTTGTTTGGCTAACTTATACATATATCTTTCTCCCTCTTTAGTATCCAATCTATTATATAAATCACTAAAGGAGAACGAGGCTTTGACGTCGGCTTGAGGTCGGGAGAGGGCAGTGGAGATCGGGATTTGGTGGAGCTCGATCGACTCTGGTCGTGGAAGCAGCGGGAGAGGAGTCGTGCGAGAGTGTCGTGTGTGGAGAGGGAATGGAAGAAGCAGCCGTGTAAGAGAGCCCGCGGCTTCTATTTAACGACGCCCGTGGTCGTTCGATCGAGGCGAGGTCGCAGGAAATCTGGGAAGAGACACGAGTCCAGCAGCTTCAGCAGGATTTCGGGCGGGATTTCAGGATGCGACTCAAACGGCGCTGCGTACACAGGGATTCAGTGGGATTTCAGCACGATTTTGAGGATCCGATGGGTATGAGATTCATACGGGATTTCTACTGTGCTTTCTTCTTTACCTGTTTCCTTTGGTTATAACATAAGAGTCAACAATAACATTATCCTTTAAACTCTTATCTATAATAACACCTATACCATTTCTAGTACGACTCCTACCCGAATACCAAAGTTTAAATCCTAAACTATCAATTTCCTTAGCCTTCTCTCCAACCCACTTAGTTTCCTGAATGCACAAAATATTTAACTTCTTATGAATCATAATATCTATTAATTCTATTAATTTTCCTATAAGGGAACCTATATTCCAAGTTCCTATCATAATTTTAATTTTATGGACTAGCTTCTTTGCCCACATTCGCCCTTGATGTGGGAACCCTTGCCTATTTAACACTGCACCCGGGCGCCGGTGCAGCGGCCCTTGCACACTTGTCAATGTATTCAGGCCATACAGCGCGTCGCTTCCAAAGGACGCCCTAGTATTAACACAATTTCTTAAAGGATTCATGTCATTACTGTTCGCAAATTTTACGCTGGTTGTCAACTACCTAACGCAACCCTCCACTTTTCTCATCCAGGACTTGGCACCTGGCAACGACAGTGTTAAAACATCATTACAACATCAATATTTCAAAATCATCTCAACATGAAAATCCAATGTTGTCATGATATTGATGTTCGATGATAAAAATTTCTAAACCCACAACTTGACATCTCATCTTTGTCTAACATCGTCTTAACATCAACAACCAACGTCATCTCAACATTGATGACAGACGCCCTCTTGACATTGACACTCAATGCTTACTTCATAACATCAACGTTCGACTCTTGACAGCATTGTCCTCTATGCCTGATACATGGCATCGACGCTCGACTCTCGACATTCCTAATATTAATCATTTTAAGCACAAATTCTAGTTAAATGACTTTTTTTTTAAATTATTTTTAATATTATACTTATTCAATTTTTATACACTATCTTTAAAATATAAAAATTATAATGTCGTGTTCAATCCGAGTCCATGTCCTATATTTTCAAAAATTGATATGCCCTATAAACATATTGTGTCGTATCTGTGTCGTCATATCCGTGTTTGTGCATCATAGCTCTAGTCTTTTCAATTAGAAGAATATCATCAGCAAAAAGCATACACCAAGGTACAACCTCTTGAAAATGTCTAGTAAGAACCTCCATGACTAAAGCAAAAAAGATATGGGCTTAAAGCAGATCATTGATGTAATCCTACTGAAATAGGAAAACACAGTTAGCATAATAATAGTTTTATACGCAAAGCAACTAGCTTTGCTTTACTAAATTATCTAGAAAATGATGTTCCAGAGCAAATAAGGTTATGAAGAGTAACGTTAAACCTCAAATTTCATTTTCTACTTATATTTACCATTGAAACCAGTCCTAAGCTATGGCATTAGAAATATGCACTATGATTCAAAATCAACAATTAGAGGAATACTATACTATCAAAAAGAAAAGCTTATCATCGGCCAAGCTAAAAATGGCAAAGCGGATAAAAAAAAAATCAGACCCAAATAAATCCTTTTACAAAAGCAAAATTAAAAGTATGAGGGCCCATTTCCGACATTTCTTTAGCATTTAGGAACATGTTTGGGAGTACTTCTAATCAAAAAGCATTTTCGCAGGATGTAATAGCATCCCAATGCTTCAAGATCTTTTACATTCATAACGAATATTAATCATTTAAAATACTGAAAAAATATATTGAATATTCAGATGTAATCAACCAACTGATAAGTATTTAAAAGTTCCAGCAATACAAGTGCGTATGAATTTTGCAGAACATAAAAGAGTCTCTACCAGTTGTCGCTAACATCTGCTTACATTCATATGGAAAGGTAAATCCAGTGGCATTACATGCAACATCCAAGAAAAAGAGAAATAAATAGTGAAGGATTATGAACATTACTCGTGCTCCAATGCCTGTGCAGCAGTTATACGTTTCTGCGGATCATATCTGCATACCAAGTGTTTTGTGATTAACCAAGGATGCATTAAACATAAAGTAGATTTAAATTTTGCAATCATTAAACATGCCCACAGAAAACACAATGAACTTTATTGATTCAAGAAGAATATTTTATGTATGTGATATTAAGTGCAATGGTCGGCTACAGTATGAAACAAAAGAACAATGAACATTCTGCAAATAGTCACACTAGATTTTCCAAGTTTTCCTGCCAACCAACCAAAAGCTTGGACAGAGTCAAAAGATGTGGATAAGTATGAGAGATGAAAAGAGAAATTCAATTTTTGTATGAAAATGAGAAAGATGCCAATCTTTCTACAAAGTTTACCAAGGAAAAAAAATCTAAACAGACCAAAAGATAATTCAGGAGAGATGAATGTGAATATTAAATATCCTTTTCTAAGAAAGATGAATGTGAATCTATCTTTTTTTTTTTCTAACTTCATGTTTTACTGGCATTCAATGTAAATCTAATATCACATATCCAAATGAAGCAAAAAGTATAAGCAAAAACAGTCATATTTTATAGCAGAGAAATAGGAAACATGGGACTTCTCAAAATAAAATGCCTACATAGATAAAGTCACACTCAAAAAGGGTTATGATTATTCAAATAAGTGCTAGGTGATTGGGAAGCAACGTAGTTACTTTACTTCATTCCTTTTGTTTTTTCCTTACAAAAAGATACCAATATGGACATATGGATCGTTTTTTTTTTTAAAGGACATATGGATGCTGATGAAATATGTATTAAGATCTAGAGTGATGTGAAACCAAATAGGAATTGCGCATAGAAATTTATAACGATTGAATTAGGCATCGTAACTTCAACTAATGTTTCACTTTTGAAAAGATTTTACGAATTTAAATTTTTTAAATTGATATGTCAAGTAACCACACAATACAAGATCAAGATTTCAAAATAATATCAATTATATAATGAAAACGATAGTGCAAGAAACTAACAATCCATGACATAACAAATAGAAAAGTCACCTCGAGTTTCCCTCACTCACACTTTTTAAGGGTTAGCGGAAGAAGAGTCGCCACAATCTGGAAGATGTCAACACGAAGGAGAGGAAGCCGAGGGTAGAGATCCAACGAAAGTTAGCCGGATGAGGGGTTATGTGTAGACGACCGGTGATCCGCCAACATCCGGAGGAAAGATGCTCCTCGAAGGAAGGGGCTAATGTAAATATAATTCGTTTGATGTATCCTTCGACGGTTTCGTCAACCTCCAAGTTCAAATCGAAGAATGTTTGTCCTTCCTTGATTATCATAAACAAACTCGTGATCAACGTCGGGATAGACCATGCACTAGTGGGACGTTGGAAGAGAGATGCTTGACTTCTTCTCTTGCAAGAGAGCTCATGAGATTTGGGGAATTCCAAGAGGGTGGACAAGGGGGAGGGCCGGCCAAGGGTAGAGGGAATTAGGATTGTGTTGGGTCTAGGGTTTGAGTTATGGAAAGACAATTAAATCTGAATTTAATTTCAGATTTAATTAAATGGAGAGGGAATAGAATTCAATTTCAAATTCAAATAAGGGTTAATGGGTCAATAGGCAAGAGGGGGGGATTTGTCCAATGAAGGGGCCGGCAACATGTAGTGAGGAGGAGAAGATTGGGGAGGGATTTATGAGCTTCCTAATTTACTATTCTAAATTAGGGATTAATCCAATTTAATTTAAAATTAAATTGAATCAAATCTAGGAACTTTCCTAATTTAGTTTTCTTAATTTGGAAAGTATTTGAAATTCAAATTTAATTGAATATTTTTCCAAATTAATTTTGCTAGTTTAGGAAGGTATTAATGATGATTGAAATCATCATCAAGGGGCTAGGAAGAGGTGGCCGGCGGAGGGGCTTGGGTTGGCAAGGTTGGCGGCCAGGTTTGTGGGGGAGAGTGACCGGCAGCTTGGAGTGGGAGGCGGGTTGGCCGGCGGTTTAGGGGAAATTTGGCAAGGGGGGCATACGGTTGGGGAGGTGGGTTGGGTTGGCCGGCGGCGGGGGAAGGGGAGTGGGTTGGCCGGTGTGAAGGGGAAGAATGACGACAGACCATGAGTCCAGGAATCCATCGGCTGACGGGTGTTACAAGGCCCTCTCCTAGGGTTTCTCCTCTCAAAACTCACAAAGAGATCAAACAAGAAAAGCTGAAATTTCATTCATCATCCAAATACAAGACCAATGACCTAATATTTAAGCCTCAAAGAAAAAAAGAAAAGAAAACGACTAACATGCCCATGGGGCTACAACTCAAGTCAACACACAAGGGTACAAACAATAATAAAAAAAATCTGAACTAATACATAAATATATCAAATATATAAACTTCTTATCGTAGCCGTCGATCTACGATACTTCCGACAGTAGACATTCCGGAATCTCCTACTGATGTCCTCATCATTGGGCTTGCTAAACCTTTGCAATGAGATGCACAAAAATTCAGGCAAAAAAAATCCATAAGACAAATTATTTTAATTTTGACAACTTTTTTCTTCTTCAAATGAAGCCAGAAATGTTAAGAAATGCTCAAAGATAATTAACAGACTGCTACTAGGCATAATGCATGAAAATTCAGAATCATAAAATCATACAATAAATTAAAAATAATGTCACCTCAATTGAATTAAACTTAAACTAAAGTCCAATAAACGTGCAAACCGTATTGAAATTTGAGAATAGAAATAAGATAGAAATAAAAGAAGCCATAAATCAAGCCTCCAATCTGTACAAAGAAATGGCATCCCTCAAAAATCTCAAATTCCTAACTTGAACTAAGATGAGAATAGAAGGAATTGGCTCCAACTAGAAATTTATTCAAAAATATTTAATTAACACTTTAAATGCCTCGGACTGCTTCCTAGAATCACGAAGTATTCTCAATTGTACAATTAAAAAAACAAATTGAAGTCAATAATCCCAACTCTTGAAGACATAACTCCTATTATGAAATTGCATGGGAGATAAGCATCCAATAGATTGTTTAGCCAACAAAGCCTACAAAACACTTGATCAAACCAAGGAAAAGAAACCTCCGATATTACTTTAACCACAACACAGAAGATTGTTCATCCTTGTTAAAGCCCAAAAAACAACAATGGCCAGAGAATCATTGGCCAAACCCGCACGACTTTAATGAAACTTGATGGATTTAAGAAGTGTAGGAACATCCTACCACAAAAAGTATAGCCAAAAACTCCAAAGTGCATTCGCAAAACAGGTCACAGAGAAGAACATAGTTAAAGAGAGGATTCTGCATCAGATGGGCCTGTCTTTATATGTTAAAAAACTTTTTATTAGCATAAATTGGGCTTTGGTTAATGCTTGTTATTGATTTAATCAACAGTAGTTTTCTTGCGAGGCACAAGGAGGTCATATAAAAGAGTACAAGCTATAAAATTAGCAAATAAAATATGAAAAATCATAGTAATCACAAAATATACCATTTATAGAGTAGTTTATGGTTTGTCCTGCAACAATGATCCATCCTCATAAAAATCATATGATGCAACAGAAGTTAAAAGGATTCCATTTCCAGGGGCTGTGGTGCTTTTTGGCCTTTATATTTCTCAAGGTTGTTTTTATGTAACTATAGCAATCTTCTTTACGTTAGTGCTTTGGCTGCTGATTCTCAGGACTTTAGCAATCAGCGATCTTTCCTACGGGATTATAACAATCAGCGGAATTGTAACAATCAATGGCTTTCATACGTTGATCCCTTGAATTGGGACTATAGCATGTGCAAATTTTTTTGTTTACTATTCTGGAAAGTCTGAGAACTATTTTTTCCCATAAAAATATGGGAATTTTATAAAATCCAAGTTACGAATTGGAACTTCTATTTAACTAAACCTTTATAGATTCTGAAAAGTTACATACATGATCTTTTGTGTTACATATAGGATCGCGGGTCATGTAAAAAGCAATGAGAATTGAGCATTGAAATAACATTTTAGTTTTCCTCAATTTTTATTTACATGAATACTAAGATAGGTTTCAGAAGTTTGTGGCCAAATACTATTTTTCACCATTATTTGTTTCATTAAAAGTCTTTGATAGGGCTAAAATTTCAGCGCAAAGATGAAAAATTGCTTAAAGATTGAATCAATTTTGGCTTAGAATGAGCTTAAATCGAGCTAAATGAGCTGTGCCATGAAAAAATTTTTGGCTTAGCCTGATCATTGAGTCTATTTTTAGTTGGGTATATATGTATTTGTGTTTTATTATTAAAAATATACATAAATGCATTAAATATTTTTTTAATTTTTAAGAAGGGAAAAAAGCAAATGAGCCTGATTTGAGTCAAATCAGCTCAAAATTGAATCTCATTTGATCCAAAAAATTAATTTTGACCCAACTTATATATATTTCAATCAAGACTAGATCAACTTGAATAGGATGGTTCTCACTCCTAGTCCTAGGAAGAGATTAATGTTGCGTCCATGGGATCATATGACTAATGTGTGACACATTATTGATTTAGTGATAATAGAATTTATGTGGTGTCACATAATGGTTTGCTAAGTTTATTTATTCTTTTTTCCAAAAGTATTCATATTCTAGTAACCTTCAAGATGAAACGTGATTTCAACCAAGCAACAAGGCTTGTTCACTTGGAGGATAAGGTCAAAGGAATATTCCACAAAGACTCAACTGAAGAATCAAGAGCTTCAAGGTTTTGGGTATGGCTTCATGTAATTGTCTTAAATTCATAATACATTGATTTTAATTTATCAAAGGCCTTAAGGAGAATGAAAACTAAAATATTGATTCAAAATATGCAAAATTTATTTTTGAACTCACAATTTTTTGAGTTTTTTTGTGTATTTGGGTTGATAATCTAGTTGCTTGAATTATTTATATTTTTGTATATTTGAAAATTATTTTAAATATTATTTTATTTTATATGCTTAATATGCAAAACTTGAAAAATTATCAATTGTGGATAATATTGTTACACAATTAAAATTAGTTTATTGATATTATGATAAAGCACGACCACATGCACATGGACTAGTGACCAAATCTTAGATAAGGGAATTCATCATCATCATCATCATCATCATCATCATCATCAACATCATCATAAAAAAAATCTCAAAGTATCGGATTTAACATATATGCTCAGCCCTTCGAGGAAGAATTCATGCAGAGTGTTTCAAAATCAAAGCCTACTCCACCTTCCAATTTAGTATGGTCAGCCCCAAATTAGTTTATTAGGAATGATTAGTATTTTATTGATTGTAATTTCCCTTATAAAAATACATAGTTGGTCAAGGAAAAAGGGAGAAAATATTGTGATTGTATTCACTCTTTTTCCTTAGAGGTTGGTTAATTCATAACATCTGCTTTTCTTATTTTGTTTGCATGGTTTAGCCTATAAATGAAGACCCCCTCATGTAATCTCTTGTTATTAGTCAATGAACTAGAAAGCTTATTTGCTTGTGAGAAATTGTGAGGGCCCGTTTGGTTGTTGACTTTTCACTAGAGTTTTGGTGAATTCCTTGCTAATCTAAGTTACTAGCGCCCTCCCTTCCCACCTCTTGGCCTCCCCTATGCAAGGCCTCTACAACTAACCTGAGCACACACAACTCTTCCACAACTTCCCATAAAACCATAGCCAAGCTGCCACACCCCTCCCACTCAAAAAGCTAAACCCCTCTTCTCTCGGCTTTCCTCAAGACAATTATCACCAAATCAACTAAAACCTAGCCACCACTCCACTTCCCTCTAAACATTCCTAAGACATTAAACCCTAATGCCACCCCTCAATCAACCCCTAAACCTAACCTCAAAAAAGCGCAAGAGATACACAAACTAATCCTAGCTAGGAATATCTATGATTATGGGGTCATTAAACTTATAGTTCCGTCGGAATATCTATGATTTCCGGCGGATTTCGTCCGCCGGTAATATGGGGTTTTCCTGTAGTGTAGCCAACCTCTTAATCTCAGACAAATCTCCGCTCCACATAAAACCTAGTTATTCCCCCTAACAAATCCCTTCTTAACCATATTTCTTCCACCACAACCCACCATCAAGCTTTAAGGGTGCTTTCATTAGTACGCTTGTGTGTTTAATTAAGTGTAATATTTATTGCTTTAATTAGAATTGGAAGATTTCAAACTTCATGGATTTATACATTGGGATAAATACAAATTAACAATTGGGATATATATTTTAATTTGATTTAATTTTATGAACCTACTACCAGTATAGTAAATTTCTCTCTCTTTTCAATACCCCCTTGCTAATTAAGATCTAACGCCTTGCCAAATGATTATGCTCATTTTGCTCCATAAACTATCTTATATACAAGGATTACACTAACAATTGATGGTGGATATCTCAAGTTTATCATGCCTTAGAATGACAAATTTATTTGTAATAATTTATGGTTACCTTTCAAGAAGCTACTAGCTTTGCCTAGACTTGCATGACAAATATCAAACACTCAATTGTTTGGATCAAAACTTTCCCAAAATGCGTAGAATGATGCAAGCCAAGAGCTATGGGATTCCCTTTCTCGAGACTGTAGCACTCTAATATCTTTCTATTTCTCGAGGTCTTTCCTTCACTATACTATAGTAATCTTTCATACTGACTTTACTCTTAGTTTCTTCTTCGGCTTCTGATCCAAGGGACTATAGCAATCAGCAGCTTGCAACACCATGATTATTGTTGGATATGTAATCCTTGACTATTTCATAAATCTTGAGTCGAATGGAGAGTTTCATTGCACCAATATAAGGCCTGTATTTTCCTTTTAGGTTATTACTATCATTGTTCTTGAAATTAATGTATTCACTACCTAGTGAATTGTGCACAATTGAGATTTTGTCTAGTGTGAGACATGTTCCATTTTTTAGTGTGAATCTTGATTGCCATTGAACTTCAATATTTTTCTATATTTTCTTTTGGAATTTAAGATCTTGGTAACTATTAAATTGTTCTCTGAAATGAAAGAAGAATGTTATTTTTAAATTATGGGTAACTATGTTTTTCTAAAGTTAAGAATTGGTAACTTATGTATTGTGCTTTTTGTCCATTTCATAGTGCATCTTACCTTAAGTTGTATTAGTTAACCCTTAAACTTCATACATCATCGTAAATTTTCATTAGAAAATGAAACTTAATTTACTTGGCATAGGAGATCTATATTTTCATGGATAATTTGAAATGTACAAAGTAAAAACAAAAATAACCATTTAGGCTAGATGATTGCATAACAAATTTGCAAATAGACAAGAGCAGTATAAGCAATAATGTTTTGGTGATGTATCAGCACAACCTTCTAACTTCTTTATAAAATGGCTCCCAATTAACTACCATGTTGGATTCATCAGACAGTAAATTTACACTAACTTTCACTATCACTTATTGTAAAACAAATATAATACAAACTAGTATATTGGAAGAAACAACGAAAAAAAAAAAACAAGAAGATTGGATGTTAGTTGTCAATAAATTATAAAACATACATACTCGAGCATTTTTGAAAGGAGATCATATGCAGGGCTCTTCAGAGCTAAATGAACATAACTATGAAGACAGGAGCTTTCACTGCACATGATAATTTAAAGAGAGTAATCGCCTTGTGTCTTGCATGACTTTGATGCAGAAAGATGGAAAATTTATCAACTGATAGAAAAAAGAAAAAAAAAACACTTACTATTTAACAGTTTGAATATGATGCTGATCACTCTGATAATGTGGGAGATACGATAGCGTAGGCCACTTTTCAGGGTTAGGGTTCCCTGTAGTAAATGACTTTAACCAATATATGCGTATAAATTTGTGAATAAAGTGCTCCCACTAGAGCGTTGTTTTCTTACCTAATACCTTGAAAATCTTGTCCAGTTGATCAGCCTAACATCAATACCACAGATATCAAATACTACGGTATTATTGTTAAATGCTATCTTTTTGAATCAGCAAAAAAATGCAATAAAAGAGGTGCAACAACAAAGTTTGAAAATTACTCTCCATAAATACTACAAATAACTAACTATGCTGATGAGTTCAAACTACAATCATCATGTATTACATTAAACATCAACAAAAAGAAAAACAATAAGAACAGAATGGGAGTGCAAGAGATAACACTTATACCTGGAAAGGATTAGGTGTCCCTTTGACTTCCGCCCCTTGAAACAATGGCTTAAGAGTCAGTAGTTCGGCAAAAATACAGCCCACTGCCCACATGTCTACATGTAGAAGAACCAGTTTACAATAATAAATGACCCTACAGCTTGATAACCAGCATAGAACTGTGGGGAAAAAAAAAATTTTGTAAATCCAGAAAACATCCTACCAACAGCACTCGTATAGTGCTTTCCTCCAAGAAGAAGCTCAGGAGCCCGATACCAAATAGTTACCACGACCTATCAAAAAGAAAAGTTTGCATAAATCAACTAATAGCAACAAAATGAGCTGAACGCATAAAAAAAATAAATAGGCTCACTGAGGATAGTCATGAAAGGATGAAAATAATAGATATTAGAAAATGACATCAAGGAAAAGAGCTGTTTAATTGGGTAGCAAAAGCACCATTAACACCAAAACTAACCTTAGCAATTGGTTAGAACCAAGTCGCATAAATCTTACTTTGCAATCTAATGTTGCATGGAGCTGCATTTGGTTTTTTATTATTTTTTATATTTCTTGAACTCTAACCCCGAGTGTTGGGCAAAAATAAGTCATTTGAGCGTAGTAAATTGAAATATTGAAGGATGCATAATAAAGCTTGTAGGGATGCATTTAGAAAAGAGCCTAAAAATGGTAGAAATAACTCCTATTAGAGAGACATTGTGGTTAAGAATAAACTTAGTTCGCTTCAATATGCATGCATAAGATGCATCAATTAGCCTGGCATATAGAACAAATGTTAAATTACTAGAAATGAACAAATATATATCAATCAAAAAAGGTTAGGAATTGTGCAAAAATACTTGCACACAAGAAGAATAACATATGTAGCATTCAACATGAATGAAAGATACTATGGATTTATAAAATTGACCAAAATAATTAGAATAAGCCGTGATGATGTGCATGATTTTGTAAAACTATGTCAGCTTTAGCCTATCACTTTTTATGACAAGTCATTTCACATAAATATTGATCCACACCTTAATAATATGTATCTTGTCCTAACAATATGCATGCCCAGCCTAAATAAATCTAACATTACAATTTTACCATCAATGTCAAATTACAACTTTCTTTTTTTGTTCATATCCTCCACTATAATGACATTTTAAAGCAAACTATATGTCAAACTATTGAACTTAAATTTTCATAATTTAAACTCTAATTTCATAAGCATTAAATTCAAAAATCTCTATAAATCACACCCAACTATATTGAGAATACTAAGTGAAAAAGAGAACTAGAAAAATAGTGAGAGAAAGAAAGAAGCCCTAAAATTTCAATAAAACTTACTTGATTATAAAAAAATACAACTAAAATGAGCTCACTGCTCGACACCCTACTTAGAGGTTAGGGTTGGAGCATTACATAATTAACTACATACATGACTATAGAGAAAATAAGAGGAAATATAATAATTGTATAGCTTCGTTAGAAGGTATAACTTGATGAAGTCGGCTACTAAGCTTTAAACAAGCCGTTAGCTTGGCATATATTGATAGTCGAATAACTAAGTAGCCGATTAATAGTTTGCATTGGATACTAATCCCTCCTTGAGTAGTCACTAGAGTCAACTTTATAGATAGTAGTCATTGTGGCTGACTAATAAGCTTGCCTCATCGATTGGGATGAGTTCTTAAATTGTTCACCCGCTTGAGTTGAATTCTCTTATAGGCCAACAAGTATGAGATCGAACATGTTGAGTTAGCTAGGCTTGAACTAGCTTGATTTAGCTTGAACCAGAATAACCTATCTTGAACCAGATTTTTTAGATATTTGGATAAACAACATGCATTTAGTATGTCAACCTATGTTTCCCAACAAGACTAGCTCCTTCCATCCTCCCCTCCCTCAACACCTTGTTGATGCCTCTTGTTCCCATAATATGCATTCCATCATTTGTGTTGAGACATTTCTTCATTATTTCAATATAAATAACACCTCCATTATAAGCATATTATTGCAAACTTTTAAACATCATATTATATACCAAACCGACAAAAAATTTACATCCAACTTTCAACTGCATTTAGCATTTTTACCCTCCTATATTTCTAGATATTTCAAATTTTCCCCACACTCCCTCTTTCCTGCTTTCACATGACACACATCTTCGTAGCCAAAGCAAAAAAAAAAACAACTCCGAAAGTAAACAAAGTTCATTTTTTTAGCAAAAAACAAGGTAATTTGTTTCAGTATAGTGCCTTAAAAATTGTGTATGAGCATTACTATTATTTGAAAATAATACAAAGCTTGTAAAAAAGAATGTATGGAAAAAATAAGAAAAAAACTAGATTGTTCCAAAAACGTCTTACACCTAACTATACATATCAGCATAACAAAACTAAAAAAAAAAAATAGCTGATGCATAATTGCAAACGGATAGCACACGTTAAAAAAAAAAAAAGTTTAAGCATGAGAAAAATTCCCAAAGAGAAAGCTTGGTAGCTACAGACAATATTCTGCTAAATTTGAATTTATAGAAAGAAATTTGTTTAACTAACTCCCATGTTAGTTCATCTAATAAGGGAATAATTTGCTGGAGATTGCCTTATTTATAAACAAAGAACACCTAATGAAAACAAAGAAGAAATGGAGAGCATAACAGAAAGAACTTTAACATTAAGAAAATAGGAACACCATGTTAATAGTGAAGTAACAAATCAAATGAGAAATTTTACAAGTCTGCTTCCACAATGTTTATTTTGATAACAATGGAACCCAGATTTCCTTACCCCATTATCAGATAAAGGCTTCAAGGGAGCTTGGTAAATCCTAGCAAGTCCAAAATCAGCTATCTTTACAACTCCTTGTTCTTCTCCTTCACCCATGACCTGATTTAAGTTGACTCAATAAGAATGGATGCTAGTATTTCAAGAAATAAAAAGGAGCATACGCCAGAATGATAAGCTGTTAGAACAAACCAATATATTAGAAGGCTTGAGATCACGATGAATAATCCAATTGCTGCAGCCAAAGATATGTACGAAACTTTAGTTATCATAGAGAAATCATTTAAATATTAGTTCAACCCTACTCTTGCTATGACTACGCATAAAAAATATGAATAGGAAAACGCACAATGAAGCCCACCTGTGAAGATAGTTCAGCCCATTAAGCAGCTGCCAGAGCAATGACTTGACAGTATACTGATTAATAGGCTGGTTAAGCTTTTCACGATGATATCTTATGATTTCCTGAAACGTGGAGTGTGTTGGATTGCAACAAATGCACATAGTTGAAGAAGATTTTGAAAATGTGTAACATTAATAAATGTTCTTAAAGCGAGAAAAGAGCTAATCCACTTTTAATTGCCAGAAAGAAAAAAGTCAACCTCCATTATAAGCGATATGAATATTGCTTGAAAAGAAAATAGCATGAATACAACTGTTTGATCATCTCTGCATATAAAAACAACATCAAGCCTTTATCCCACAACGTGGGGTCGGTTACATGAATCCTTTTTCTACATTGTGTCCTATTAAGAGTCACATTCTCATTTAAATCTAATAAAGAAATGTCATTTCTAATATTTTCTAACCAAATCTTTTTAGGTCTACCTCATCCTTTCTTAACATAAGCCAAATCTAATACATCTACTCTCCTAACCGGGTCATCAGAAGGCCGTCGTTTTATATGACCAATCTATCTAAGGCAACTCTTTCTAATCTTATCTTCCACTGGAGCTACTCCAACCTTTTCAAAAATATGCTCGTTTCGTATCATATCTCTAAAGAGTAAATCCACTCATCCACCTGGGCATCTCTGCATAGACACATTAAAAAGGTGATGCCCCCAAAGATCCAGCCAAAGCCTTGTATTGTCCCTTCATAATATCCCAAAAACGAAAGTCCCGCATCTCCCTATTTTGGTTTCTTATTCATGCATCGTGTAGCCACTTTCCTTAAAATCAAATTTGTTAGCATATTCCTCTACTATTCATGGGCTCTCATCATGACATGTCATATCATGCAACTTGGAGTAAGTTAAATCATGTTATCAATTCTTTTTCTGAAATCCACATGTTGATGCATCTCCAAAAAATTATTGAGTTATGGATTCTGTTTTGCTCCAAAATACAAAAGGAAACACCATATATTTAAAGCATATACTTGCGTGATTAAAAGATGCCTAAACAGAGAAAGGCTAATGCTATACTAATTGACGTTAACTAGGGCATTAGAAAAGATGTCCTTGCTCAATCCATTGAGAAAGAGGGTAAGTGAGATAGAGATGGAGAGAAATAGTTCATGCAATTGCTTAATATTCATGATATGTCTTTTCAACATACGAGCCTCCACAATTAATAAAAGGATTTGAACTAAGGAAAAGCTCAACAAAGGAAACTAATAAGGGAGATCTAAAGGAATCAATTTGAATTTTTCATAACATGAAGCATCATCATAAAAGATTCCCCTAAAACAAGAAAACATGTTTAGTAAGCGAAATTTTGCAAGTGATTCTAATGATGTGTAAAATATCGATGACATGGAATTTAATTTTGATGGCATGTTGCATCATCTCTCCTCGAGTAAAAGAACTCTTTGTTAAAGAGTGCACACCAATATAGTCCTCCAACAATGTAGGAACAATATACCATAGCTCGCTAATAGACAACCAGGTTACATCAACCAAGGAGAGATGCTGTCAGTGAACAAGAAAGTAGTGTTATCCCATAGAAACGATAATCATATCATTAATGATGATATACTCCAAAGTACCTATAGGGGATGAGGCAAGCACAATAGTGATCAATGTTAGAGAAACTCCAGCTATACTAACATTAATGGGCAACATAAGAGGCTCAAAATTGCCTCTTAAAGGTTTAGCTTTTCGATATTTAAATAAGACCAATATGATGCTCTAATGCGATGCAAAATAAATAAGCTTTGGGTCGTATTTCTCGTGGATTTTAAAGGGACCAGGAGATTGAGCAAGGATTTCTTCAAAGACTTGGTGCAAGAGCATTCTAAGTGCATGCAAATCAAAATATGATCTCCTTCATAAAATTTGCAAAAATTTTGATTAGTTGTGGCAACCAACTACTTTTCAAGTATGTGAAGAAATATGATTTTTATATCAGCAGGCAATTTATGCATATGCTCAGTTAAATCAACGGAAGACAAAAATAACAAGAGTAGTAGGCAAAGAGATGAAATAGGAATGCAAAGTCTTGTATCAGAAATAATTCAAAGAGAAACTTACAAGTAATTCTATATGGGGAAATATCATATGCAAATTGAGCAATAGCACTAAATTCCATTTTCAATTATTTTAACCATAAGAAAAAACAAGAGATTGCCTAAACTGTGGTTGAACACTTCTATTTAGCCATCTGATTGTGCGTGGAAACAAACAAAAACTTAAGTAGTGCCAAAAAGTTGTCAAAGGAAGCAAATGAAATATCCAACAAGTCAAGTGTCTTGTTTGGAAACTATAGATATGAAAAGATCATGGAAATAAACTATATCATGAAAGAACGGAATAGTTATGTATGATGCATCACCAGTCAGATTGCACGTTATAGAGTACCCAACTTATAAAATTGGTTATCTACAACAAATATGGAGTCAATTTAGTGGATGACCTTTAGCAAATAAAGAAATCCATACTAATATCTTACCAAGGGGGATTCAGGGTGGGAAATTGTTTGAATGGCCGCATAGGTTTTTTGATTAACTTGCCATGTTGTCGAGTCCAACATTGTCTAATAACAAAAGGAAAATCTCGCTTTATAGAAGGATAGAAAAAATGTCACTTAATAAGTCCTATTCTAATCACAACCAACATGTTTGATATAATTACATGCATATAATTCCCTAATAAGAAAGCCTCTTGATGATGTGTGGGGAAATACATAGGAGTGATCCTCAAAAGATGAAGCCATCAAGAATTAAAAGAAAGACAAAATGAGAAGTATAACTATCCGTAGTCAATGAAGTGTAGACATCCTTAAAGTCAGGACAAGATAAGCATGATTTTCTTCCAATCAAGAAAAATAAATGTAATAAAACAAACATCATAAATAAGAGTAGATGTGGATGAGGGCTTTGACAACTTTATTATCAACACAACCACACAATGCTCGAGGAAAAACTTGTATTTCTGAAGATATGAGACCCATTTAGTGTGGCATGTATTCAATTTCTTTTATAAATGCATGCACTTCAAGGCCTCATCATCAAAGTGAAGAATAAACATGTGAGATAAAATATAGCAAGATCAATGTCATAAGGCTCATAAAATTATGTAAAACTTATGATCATATGTAGAATATCATTGCTAAGCCTCATTACATTTCACACTAAAATAGACTATGATGCCATTCCAAGCTAAGGACACCACAAAGGTGCCGTCAACTTCAAATGTATCACAAGTTACTTAGATACTTTGGACAAGTGAAGTAGGCGAGGGATAGGAGAATATTCTATTTAGTTTTAATTAGTTCAAAGGCAAATTTAGCTGAAGATAGCCAATTAAATGTATCTAAGGCATCCATCATTGGATCCATGATGATGCTAAACCATTTGATAAACAATTGTTCAAATGCGGCTAAACCATGAAAACTACAAACCACGGACGCAGAGATGAGGTAAACCAATCTAAATGGATTGAATATTGACAGGAACAACATAGACTTCGTTAGCTAAGATGATTAGCCTAAAAAAAGAGAAACTTTGGTTGTAAAAAAATGCAATTTTTAAAAAGGAATAGAAATATATCCCACATAATTTTATTCATTATAAGTAGGTCGCCAACCAATTAAAGACTCAAACTCCGCATGGAAGCAACTTAAAGCAAGGAACACAAGTCAAAATGAAGCATGCTGACTGAGCTAAAGCTCATTTGTTTGTACAAATGTGCATTTCTTTAAATTTATGCATAGTTTTAGAGAAGGTAGGATATCCACAACTAAGCAAATATGGGTCAAGTCGCTATAATCATTGGTGATGTAAATAATGATGTCAATAATGCACTCCACAAAAAATTTACCAATGAGTCACACGAAAGTAGTAGATGCATTGGAAAGCCCATACAGCATAACCAACCACTCGTTATGTATTGAAAGAAATTATCTACTCATTCCTGATATGAATCCAAATATGGTGGTATTAGCTTCATAATTCAATTTTACTAAAGAATGTAGACCCAATGAGCAAGTCAAGTATATAATTTATCGTAGTATAGGGGAGTAATATTTGACTACAATCCAGTTAATGACACATCTATCAACAAACACACACCAATCATATCTTGTATAAGATTAATGAGTGCAAAATGGCACAAGGACTAAAGATTTTCTCTAATGGAGTCATTAGTGAGGAGATAGTCAACTTGTTTTGTGAGTTCAGCATACTCGGGATTCATCTTATACAGTGAAATGTTGAGTAAGTGTGCACAAAGGAGTAATTCAATAATATGTTGGATGTCTTAAATGGGTGGGAGCTCATGAGGTAGCTCTTCTTGAGTCAAATCAGAGAAGTTTGCAAGTAATTGGGAAATAGGAACAAGTAATTGTTGTTCCTTGTAGGTATGCTAGACTTTGCAAGCCAACAATACAAAAATTAGACCATATTGTTGACCTCATTGTTCAAATTCTAGGGATGCCCAGAACTGAAGAACTATGCTTTATATAGGGTGTGAATAAACCAATGGCTTTCATGTTTAATTTCTAATCACTATGATGTAAGGGTAAAAACCCTAATGCTTGTGTGCTCAAATTATAGTTCCATGATATTCAGAATGAGGGCGCAGTGTAGACACTAGTGTGAGACATGTGTCTGGCCTATGATACTTGAAGTAAGAAAGGAAGCTTGCTTGTTTTTGTAAGATTTATGAGCTAAAAGGTCCAAATGTGTTTTCGTTTGTGATCTGACCAGTATTGGGAAATTTTTTAGAAACAGGTTGATGATAGGGTATATGACCAATAAGAAAAAAAACACTGAGTGCGCTAAATCGATGTGGATTGCTCAAGACATATTTCCCCAACATTTGCTTGCATTTTTTGTATTTCACTACTTCAAATATGAGATGATAGGGTATTATTAAGGGTGGTGGGCTGTATGGATCAACATTCATATGAATGTAATGATGTTCATCCCACATGGGTTTATGCTCCGTGTCAATGGCACAATTGATTAAAATTTTTTTTCACCCTTATTTAGAGATTTATATTTATGGATTATTTGGATCTTTT